TATGATTTTTTTGAAAAAGATGATATTTTTGCTGTTTTTTGGTATTATCTTGATTATTTCAAATATAGGTTCTAAATAATGCTTATCTGAGTGGGATCTTTGTAAACTGTTTCACAAGTTCTCTTTCTGGGTCGGGTCTATTTTAAGATTTATTTTAAATTGCATTCATAGAGATAAGGAAGATGTATTTTACAAATAGAGCTATATATTTATTATATTTATTGCTTTTTTTCCTTCAATTAATAATTCCTTATATTCTTGAATTTCCTACTAATTATTTTATATCGTTCTTTTTTTTTAAAAAAGGAAATAATTTATGTTTGGGATATCAAACTTTATAGATATATCAATCATTAAAAGTTTTCTTGCTTGATACGTATTATTCTTTTTAAGGAATTCTTGCCTATTTTAATCTGTGACAATAAATGATGATCAGAATTTTATAACCAATCAATAGACAACGTTCTTGCAAATCGTGTTATCTAATTTTTCTTTTAAAAAGTTTTTTAAATCAGTTTTTTTTTTTTTTTTTTTACTTCTATGATTAATAATAATAATTATAATAATAATTTATTAATTATTTTGATAATTAATTAGAATAATAATAATAATTATAATAATAATTTATTATTTGATAATTAATTAGAATAATAATAATAAAGATAATCATGAAATTTGGGAAATATATTAAACAACGTACAGATTTGCTTCCACAAGATTGGAAGAATATTTGTATCGATTATGGAAATTTAAAGACTTATATCAAATCTAATATTACTCCAAATACTTTAAAACTTGAATTATCTCAAATGGTATGGAAACCTTCAAATGAAGACCAATCAAATTTCATTCAATTAGTTTCTACTCGTTTAGGTGAACTTCAATTAAAATCAAAAGAATTTTTTTGAAGAATTAGATTCAGAAATACAAAGAGTTTCAGATTTTTTTATAAATCAAACAAATTCTCTTATCAATATTTATGAAAAGAACGAAGGTGTTTATTCCAATGAATATGATCTTGCGGATTTATTACAATCAATCATAAAATTAGAAAAATTTGTTTTCCTTAATTACACAGGATTAGTTAAAATATTAAAAAAACATGATAAGTGTTCTGGATTAAATTTTAGTCAAGCTTATCTTTATCGAATTGCTTCCCTTCCATTTGTAAATTCTGGAAAACTTTCATCATTAAAAAAGACTTTAATGGAAAAACTGGTAGAAAATACATCCCCCAATTTAATTTTGTCACCTACTAATGGTAATGGTGGTGTTGATGGTGATGTTATTAATCGTCTTCCTATCACCGAACTCGTCAACAATTCAACAAAAAACGCTTTAGCAAAAAATTTATCAAATTTCTTAAAATCAAATTTTGTTCCATCTCCTGATAGTTGGTTTCCCCCAGCAGCATTATTACCTCATCAAAAAGTTTTAATTTCTTTAACTGGACCTCATGGAACAGATATTATTGGTT